AGTCCATTTCTTTCAGTCACTATGGTATTGGAGGTTATGTCAATTTAGGATGTAAATGTTTTTTAAACTATCATATTCTAGAAGTCTCCTTTGACTTTTTTTTTATGCATAGTATAGTGTCATTATGGTTGATTTTCCTTGGCATGTAAAAGGTTTTGGTGGTGGTTGCTGCTTTTCCTGCCTGCAACACATGTGAAATTGTAGTTTTGAAGTTTGACCATATTTCTTGACAAGTTAAATCTGAATTTTCTTTCTATCAGCATCTCCTGGATTGTCACATTCTTACTTTGTTGTCTGGTTCCAAAGTTTGTTAACTTTCTTACATGACTTCCTGCAACATGACATCTGGGAGTTTTCATCACATTTTTTGGGAATACCTTTAATTCTCAGACCTTTTTTTTCAAATCTTCTTCAATATTCTTTTCTTGTAGAGCTCTCATGTATTCATCCAAATTTTTTTTAAAATTTCATTTAACTATGTTTCTATGTCTATATTTTTGTTTTCTAATTCTGTCATTTTGGAGCATTTCTCTGTCATCTGTTGTAAAAATTTCTGGTTAGTCAAGCTTTAATTTCAACCCTCATTTCTTTAAAATAATTTTAATAATTCCTTGATTGCTCTTGTAAGCTCTTCTGAAGCTTCTTGGGGTTGTTCCCCTATCATATAATTTGTTGTAACGCTTACCTTACTTTAAAGTTATTTCTTTTAACTTAGTTTCTTCTCTTCTTTACAAAAACTTACCTATTGTGTTGGCTTTTCTTGGATTGTTTGCTCAGTTTTTCTCTTCCATCAGCCTTTGTCAGTCCTCCGCTGGCAGGGCAGATGGCAAGATGGCCGGCATGGCTGGCTGGCTGGGATGTGACCATGGTCTAGTCTGGGGCAAGTTAAATATAGTAGGCCAGTTGAGCTTACATCCAGTCACTCATCGATCAAGAGAGCTGAGTATGTAAGTTTCAAAGATGAGTATGTTAACTTTCCCAGGGCCTGGTAACAAAGTTTGTGGAGGTCCAGGCCAGAGGATGCTGTTTCAGGCATGGAAAGCAAAGAAGCACCAGGCAGATGATAAGATCTCTGTGGTGCATGTATCTAGATCCTAGCTGAAAGGGATTTGAATGGGGCTTGAATGGTGTTAAGCAGCAAACAAACAGGAATAGAGAAGACAGATGGTAGAAGCAATCCAGAGTTGGTGTTTGGAAAGAGATGAGCAGTCAGATAAGGAATTCAAAGATAGAGAAGAGTATGAATTTGAACTGATTAAATTTAGAATCAAGATTTTCAGTGGTAAAAAATGAGGCGGTGTAGAGGTGATGGCCTATGTAAACAGATTAAAGTTAGGTGACTATAGGTTGCTGTTCAGACGGAAGGATGAAGTAGAGGGAGTGATGGACAGGAAAGAATTCCAGTTATGGACTGTGAACATGGAACTTGTGGGTGATGATGAGATCAAAGAGAATGAATATCTTTGTGTGTAGCTGAGGCGGAGTGAAGATCCTGGGAACTGGCAGATAACAAAAAGCTGGAAGTGATAACGAGCTGATGTAACACAAAGTCCAAAAAGATCTTAAGAAGCTGGAAATGACAGGTAAAACCCTGTTATAGTCACTTTAATGTAGATAAATGTAAAATTCTATACTTGCTGAAACATCAACTTCAAAAATATAACATGGTTTTGGTGTGGCCTGATAAATCAGGTGGTCCTGATAAAATATAAGCACCTTGAGGGTAGGGACTGTTTGGGGGTTTTTTTGGTATTCCCAGCAACTGGCCCAATGCCTGACACACAGTAGACACTTAATAAATGTTTGTTTATTGAGGGAGGCGATAGCTCCTAATGTACTACTATGTCTTGTTTAGACTGTATCTGGAGTAATATCCAGTTCTGAGTGCCACACTCTTAAGAAGGACACAGATAAAAGTACAGTCCACTGCGAAAAGGGCACTGAGATTCAGGAGACAATGAAGCTATATAAGAGTTAAAGGAAACAGACATATTTGGTATAAAGAAGTCTTCAGATATACATGATAATTCTCTTCAAATATCTGAAGAGCTGACACATCAAAGGAAGATTAGGCTTCTTCCAAGTTGCTGAAGAAAGGAAAGGGCTGTTTCAGGAGTTCAGAGCAGCTTTCTCCTCACTGGAGGTGTCTGAGCAAAAGTTAGGCTGCAAAGAACATCCTTGGTCAAATATCTATTACACTGATTAATACAGAATTATGTAGCTACAACACTCTTTTTCCTTTCTTTCTGTCACATTTTTCCAGTCACCAAGCTCTTGGCACAGGTTCCTTTATGCTTCTTCAAAATTTTTTATTCTTGGTTATTTTTTGGAATCACTTCATTCTACTTCATTCTCTATGATAGCCCATAAAAGAAAAGTAACCTTCTCATATTCTTTTACTTTTCCTGCAAGAGCCAAAGCAATATACATTTGAGGCACACATGTTCATTACTCAGTATAGACAAAAAGACAGTGCAGTGTGTAGGATACTATGAAATCTTTCTTACTCTCAATATTTATTATACTTGTGATCCTTAATAGAGAGGTCAGGTGACTTGCCCAACGTCACAGCAAGTATTAATGTTTATTTATGTCACTATTGTTTGCTATCTACTGCAGCTAACTGGGCCTCTTTTCCTATCCTGTACTAGCATAGTTCATTTTTTGAATCCAAGTTCTTATGGCTAATTCTCAGATTTGTAATTAGCCAAATTAGGTAAACTCTCACCAAAGTTGGAATAAAAACTCTTAGCTTTTACAGGGAAGGTTTTAAGTAGAAATTTACTTTTTTCCCCCTCTTTCTACTAATTCCTACCTTGCCTCATCTCAGCATCATCCTCCATCCTTTACTTGTGTTGAGTTTTTTAATAGGCCTTTACATTATTTTCTATTAAAATTCATTTTGTCACTACAGCCCCACTTTAGCCTGCCAAGATCTTTTTCATTGTAATAGGCTCATCTAATGTTTGAGCTTTTTCTCCTACTGGTTTTTTTTTTCCTGAAAATTTATACAACATCTACATCTTCATCCCAGTCCTTGATAAACATGTTGAACAAGTCAGGGCTAAGGATAGTCCTGCATTGGCATAGCAACAGAGACCCTCTGGTAGAAGCTAGTCCACTAATGAAAATTATTTGGGTCCTGCTGTTTAACCAGTAACAAAAGGACTCAATACATTCTGTCAACTAGTCTACATCCCTTCAATTTACCCTTAGGCTATAATGAGAGACCATCAGATACCAGGCTGAAATCTATATATATGATGTCCATGGTATTTCCATGATCATTAGTCTAGGAACCGTGTTAAAAAAGCAAACGTTAGTCTGGTATGCTTTGTGCTTAGTGAAATCATGGTGACTCCCAGGGATCACTGATTTCCTCATAAACTGTCCATTTTATAAGATGTTCCAGAAATTTTCTGAGGATGGATTTCAAGTTTACTAGGCTTCAGGCTTGAATGACTAAGATGGTCATTACAAGGAATACTTTATGTCAAAACTTAAAAAACAGGAGGGTGACTAAAAGGATCCTTAAAAAGTCTGATATAATACTAAGCAGATTTTATTTAAAATACATTATTCATAAATATAAGTTGGTTAGTGTGTGAAGGGGCATTTATGTTCCTCCTGATTATACACATTTATCTAACTTACTAGTTAAGTACTCAAAAACAACTATAATGTGCTCTAAAATCTTTTATTTTTAAATTATACAAATTCAATTCCTACAATCAGCTATGTTAGTTAGTATATATCTTTAGTTTACCAACTTTTTAACCTACCTCTTTAAAAAGTGAGTCTTTTTGAAAATTTTTAAAAAGGATGGAAAATACTTCAAGCTTATTTTTCATTTTAGAGGTGAGTCTTTGATGGATTTATCTGTTGCATGAGAAAATTTATTTTGTTATTTCCCCTACCCTGCCCACCTCTACCATCTTCATACTACTATATAGTAGCTTTTGAAAATGGTATGTAGTATGTAGCACAATATTATTGTCTACTTTAAAATTTTTCAGACATTAAAATAAATACATACATATACATATATTATGTACTTGGATGTTATGATTTTCATTGTTTACTGGCTTGTATTTATTTACAATTTTCAAGATTAAACAAACAACTCTACTACAGGCCTACTTAGAATACAATCTATTACTAACACCTTATTATTATCATCTGTTGCATACCCAAAGCAAAAAAAATTTCCCAGAGTATTTCTGCTAATAATTTTCTAAGTTTCAATTCTGCTAATTTTGGTCTTGGTTGCTAAGACTAATATCTCTTCCTATGAAGTTTGGTGATGCTAGGCTAGTATGCATTTTCCAGGACTGCATGAAAGCTAAACAGCTTTTTAAATGCATCTTATAAATAGCATCAATCATATGTATTTTGAAAAACTAGCCCAGATATCTTACAGTTGAACAGATAAATCTCTTTATGCCAAAAAGATACATTCTTCCCTAGATTAGAACCGATAATCAAGAGTAGGCTTTAACATTTATCTAATCAAATCACGACAATATTTTTTAAGAAGAGTCCTATTTTCAAGTTTTACGTGGTGGTGTTATATACTTTTGTCTTTTTGTTATATATTTACTATATATACTTTTGTCTTTTCTGAAAAAAAGACTATTCATCACTTATAATGGTTTCATATTCATTTACTTAATTCCAGTTAATGGAAATGTTAGGTCTTCATTGTGAAGGGAAAATATACACAGCATCATCCCTGAGAACTATCTTTCCCCCTAGATGCTACATATATACCTTATTTGGAATATATAACCCAAACTGGCCAAAGCTTGATTTTCTATATAAGAAAAAAATTTCTAAGCCAAATGATGCTTACCAGAACCATGATTTGGGCACCAACATATCAAAGTAAAGATTCAAATGCAATCTTATTAATCTTATTTTCAGGTAAAAATATGGTTCTTTTTCAAGAAAGACTATTAGTCAAATACAACTCTTCTGTAAAACACAACATAATAAACATCTGTATCAGACTAACCCATTTATTTGGTACATCTTTAAGTTAAGAAAAGGTAAAGAGATGCAACTCCATAAAGAAAAATGAATCACATTCTTACACTACTTGAACACACACAGCAGTGGCCAACCATAATAAAATGTGGAATGGACCCCAGTGTTTAATGAAAAAAAAATCATTCACTATTGAGAAACATTTTAAGCTTCTAGCTTCACTGAATCCAGAACTGAACGTGCTTCTTTATATTCTTCAGATTCTTCCAAGTCTTTTTCATTTTCCTAAAATGAAACAATAAAAATGAATTTTTAAAAACTCAATTAAATCCAACAAATGTTTATTAAATGCCTACTATGTCCCTTCTAACATGTAGTCATTTGTTGTGATTCTAGCATTGCTAAAAACCATGAAAATCTTATAAATCAGAGGGACCTGACTACCAGTTATCATGTCATATCCCTAGATATGGACCAATTCAATCATGTACCTTTCAGGATAGAGAAGAGATACCATTTTTTGTAGTTGGATATTACTGTACGAATAAATCATTTTAATGAAATTATTTTTGTATAGCATATCCTTACTATAATGATAATTATGACATCACCAGGAATTAAATAAGGCATAAATTATTTAAATAAACTTTCATAAAACATTTAAAAATTCAATCACTTGGAATATAAAATATATTTCATATGATATAAAAGGTAAATTATTACTTTAATTACTTATCTATTATTTCAGTTAAAATAGAATTATTTTATCATCTGGCCAAATTTTTAGAACTTTAAGAACATTTACAGACCTGGTGCAAATGTTTATATTTATGATAAAACACTTACGTCTTTATGCCACAGAAAAACAAATCAGTTACTGGACTGATAATGGAAATGAATGCGCTCTTCTGGTCACATTTTTACTTGTGAAAGTTAATCTTCCTACTTGTCTGGATATTTTTACTAATTTTTTTCCTTATACTGACTTTTAAAGGATGCTTACCAATTACATGGCATGATATCAGGTGACAAATCATGATAGCCTGCTACATTTGTGTAAATTTCAAGTGTTTTTTAACTTAAATATAGATTAAAGGAAAACAAAATGTATGGCCAATTACAAATATGTTAAAGATTACAACAGTGAATTACTAAAGGAAAAGGAACAAAGTGAAAATAAATTTGCTCTAAGTTTCCATGTATTAAAAGATGTGCAGGTAACACAGTGAACTAGGACTAATTTAACTGTTTTCTAAACTCTTATTATCTCATACCAGGCCTTTATTGTTTTTATCCGCTTTGAGGATACTGATGTTTTGGATAATACGTATAACATATGATCCTAAGACAATATTTGTAAGTGATTTTAAAGAATCAATCTCTTAGGCTACTATTTAATGAAAACAAATAAACATTCTAGCAATTAAAGGGTTAATGAGTATACTATTATCCAAAACAGTATTTTAATATGGTAGCAACTCTTCATTTTTATCCCCTGTTTCAAAACAACTTCTTCCCGTCTAGCTGTCAATAATTCAGATCTTTCTCCTTTATAATAGTTTTAAAGATTCTTGAAAGGTTTTTATCAACAAATAATACAGAGCTGGGGAAAAATTACTTGTCAAATAATACCGTGAAATTTGGAAACTTTATTAAATGTAGATCCAAGCTCAATGCAAATAAAGTTTGTAGCCTCCATACAAGAATACACACACACACACACACACACACACACACACACACACACACACACATACACATACATACATACATATATATTTATATTTAATAAGCCTAAAACATCTCATGAGATAAAAAATTAATAGCATATTTAGATAATTTTTTTGAGACTGCTTTGAAAAAGTTATTTAGGAAAATAATATTTCAGGAAGACAACTATGTAGCTAGTAATTAAGTTTAGGTAAAGAAACAAATAAAAGGCAGTATGGCATAATGGATGGAGTTGGAGACCTGGATTCAAGTTCCATTTCTGCCATACTAGCTATGTGAACCAGGGCAAGTGACTTAATCTCTCTGTGGTTCAGGTATCTCTTTAAGATTTTAAGTTGCAAAATAGTTACTGATCTGCTTTGGTAGGAGTTGCCCAACAGAGTTTCCTATATGGAATTAATCATATATCTGGATTTTAAAAAGAAAAGCCAATACAAAAATGGGGTTAGCAGAAGAGAGACTGGAATTCATCTTGGAATTTACTAGTTAACTAATGGTGCAGATCTTTTGTCCTTCGTGAATATTTTAGCAATGCTTGAAATTTCCTGTGTACAGAAAACTGTAAAAGAACGAAGTAAAAACTGCTTGTAGCTATTCCCTGAATCTCACAATTTATAGAACAGTTTCCCCTCTGAATCAGGAGGTATTAATACCTGCATGTATGGGAAAAATAATTTTAATCTAGATCCACATACTACTGAGTAGGGGGACAAAGGGGATAGCTATTTAATGTTAGATCTCACACTGATTAGTATCTAGGTCTGAAAAAATCTGGATTCTTTTTCAAAAGTTCATATCCACGTGAAACATCTGGGTACCTCAGATGAAAAATCCACATTTATCCTTTATGTGTTGAATAAAATACTTAAGCAGGAAGTGAATGTAACCAAACAATTCAAAGAGTTGCTGAAAGAAATGGATAGAAAGGATAGCAAAGTGCATCCTCTGACTGTTAGCTATCAATTCAAATTCACTTACATTAATGTTAAGTTTGTACAAAAGGGAGAAACATGTTTGAAAATATTACTGCAGTTGATAACTAAGACCAGGATCTATAATACACTTTTTTTCCAATGTAATGTCATAATGCAACTGAACTGAAAATTTTCAACTGATCTTCTGCAACACATGTTGAGATTTGCATCTTCAGTGTATTTGGTTGAAAAAGGCCTAAAATACAAGCTACAATATACCTTGTTTTACATACCAACAACTGTAGAAGATCGGAACGTGCAGCTTCCAATCTGCGTTGGCAATCTGGAATCATCATTCGAGATTCTTGCAAAATTTCTGTCTATAAATATAATATTGTTAAATGTTTTTAAAAAACTGAGGTATCTCAGAATATATTTACTATATTCAAAACCTTTAGTAAATAAGTAGACATTTTAGAGAAATTAAAAATTGTTTGAGCTTTTCTAATTTGAATATTCAACAAACAATATTCTGCTTCTTTTTCAACAAGAAACTGTTTAAAATACCTGTATTTGTCAAAATGGCACAAGAAAAACCTGATTGACATTATTTACAGCTTACCATAAAATTTTAAAAATTGAGTTAAATAAATGAAGCATCTTTGTATTCACCTTCTTCCATGTTAAGTGAAAATTAACAAGTAAAAGCTTTTCAAAGCGTGTTAGTTTAAAAAGGCTATTTAAAAGAAACTATTTCTCCTGCTGTCACAAAGCACCTTCATCCAAAATGGGATCAGCTGGTTATATAAATATCTCCTGCATCTTTTGAGTAATAAAGAAAAACAGTGTTCAGATAATACCACATAGAGATAATTACTGCATGAAAAAAGTTATTGAGTTATTGATCACATCGTGTGCACACGGCAGGAGGTTCTCCCTGAAAGACAAAGGTAAAGAAAAATGAAAAGCCAAGACCAGCAGGTTCATATTTTTGATGCTTATCATGCATAAAAAGTTATTACTTATCCTTGTGCTTCATTTTAGGAAAGAGATTATTCTCACCATGCAGTTTGAGTCAAATTACCAACCTGGCACCCCTCTGAACCTGAACACTTGGCCATTCCAACTGAAAACACTACAGAATTAAACACGAGAATACTGATTCTGGGGCATATTTTTTTCTGGAATCAAAATCCATTGTTCAAAGCTGGTTGTGTGAAGTGTAGCACAATGAAGCAAATCACAGTAGAAGAAAAAATAATCAAATCTATGAGTGTGAAACCCAATCAATAAGTAGGATACATGATTGCAAGATTGTACTTTTCTTAAAATGGCACAACATTCTTTATGTGGGAGGAGTTTTTTCCTTAAGTTATATTAAGAGGAACCAATATTGTGGCCCTACTATGAGCAAAGCCCTGTTGTGGTATGTGCTAGGCATCGTTATAAAAGCAACTTAATAAAAATGTTTTAAAACAAGCAATGATCTTTCTCCCCCTCTCAAATGGTTCAGAAATGTGAACTTTTAACAAGCTAAAATTTCTATTTCTCTTGTGGTTTGAACTGATTTAAGAAATAAATGGTCATTTATGTTCTTAGAAAAAAAAATCCTACAATTGAAAGGCAAATATGGAAGCATTTCAACTATACTGTACTCCAAAATATGCTTACTTTTTACAAGTACTTTCGTAGTCCCAGCACCTTTTTTGCTAAGGACAAAAAATTTTAAAAGATTACAAATCTTTCCTTGTTTAGTAGTTTCTTTTATTACTTTTTTTCTTGCAAAGCAGACTACTGAACTTACAATTCATTCATTTGTGTAGCAATGGACAGTATAAATAAATATAAGATTGTGAAAACATAAGATTATGATTTTACCCCATTACTAATTACAGCAGGGATTCAGGAAGCAGTATTCTTCAGTTTATTACCATAAAAAATTGAATACCTACTGTGTGTTTTCAGGTAGTCTAAATATATATATTTAAAATTTGTATGATATGCATCTCATATTAATAAATAAGCCATGTTTCCTTTTGTTTAATTCTGTAAACTAAATGAATAGAAAAGAAGGCATGAAAATCATAATGCTTTAATAATCAAAGCTACTGTCTTCACTTATGCCAAGGAACAAAATGATCAAATAAAATTAAAACCAGAAGCTCTTCACATTAAGTAGTTTTCAAGTAGCAGATTTAACTTGATTGAATCAACAATCAATTCAACAAGAGATTAAGTTACTACCATGTAGCAGGTACTGAGAGAGACACCTGGGCACTGGGGATATAAGAACAAAGAATGAAACAACCCCTACTCACAGGCAGCTTATGTTCTAATGGAGACAACAAGTAATATAAAACTATATACAGTATAAATTTAAAGTTAAGAAATACAAATACATGCAAAGTAATTAAATATATAGGGCATGGCCCTTGCAGAGTGATAGATATGTTGTTGCCTCTGAGGAAAAGAAAGAAGGCTAATTAGGTTAATTTGAATAGGGCAGAAAGGGGAATCATATCTGATGGGTCTGCATTGGTGGCTTGGCCAGGTTTCCAACAAGATGCCCCTCCCAGGATAAACTCATCACTTCTAATCACTCAAGCCTTGAATGTCACCCCCTCTCTCAGGTTCCTCTCCCCTCAGATTAGAGGGCCAGAGGGTGGGGTACCAAACTCCTCCCAATACCTTCCATTATAGAGGGCAGAAACTGGATTCGAAAGATCATTCCTCTAAGATGCCTGCCTCCCCTGCCCCCCCCAACTCCTTACCTCCAGGTGCTTTCTCCCCAACCCTTTTTTGTCTCCTTTTGTGTGTCTGCCCCACCCCCCATGAGATTATAAACTCCTTGAGGGCAGGGAATGTCTTTCTTTTTTTTTTTTTAAATTAATTGTTATCTAGGCTGCATGTAGCTTTTAAAAGATAAACTGAGGGGTTTGAATTTTATCCTAGTGGCAACAGAAAGTCACTGGAGGTAGACTGAGTAGTAGACTCTTATAGTCAGATCTGTGCTTAAGGTAAAATAACAGAATGAACTGGAATAGTAAATGATGTGAAGTAAAGAGACCAACAAGAAGGCTGATACAATAATCTAGAAGTGATGAGGGCATGAGCTAAAGTGGTAGTAGAAAAGGGGTGAGATCTAAGAAATGTTGTGAAGGCAGAAACAAAAAGATTAAGCATTTATGTGCTAAGCAACTGATTGAATTTATGTGTGGAAGGATAGTGAAGAGTACAGTATAATACTGGGATCAATAATCTGTGATTAAGCAAAACCTGCTATTAATTCAAGAAGGTTGAAATGTGATATAGCAACCTAGTTTTCCAGAGGTCTAGTTTCACTCCAGCTCCCCAAATATCAGGCAGTATACTTCCAGCTTCAATTGAAGAAGAAGGCACTACAACCAGAAGCTAACCCAGATATCATCTGTGGGAGGATGTTATCATAGCACCATGCCATACCTATAGCACATTCCCAAGGGCAAAACTTAACAACTCCATGAACCACAACTTTGACATCTTCTTGCACTTACGGCACATTATGTTTCTAGAAAATGTGCTGTAATTTCTCCCACGGAAAAAAAGGAATAAATGGGGGTTTCTTTTGTGACCAAAGGATTGATGCCCAGCTTTCTATACAAATAACAACAAATACAAACTTACTCAAGTACAAACTACATAACCACCATACAGTTCACAGATTTCACATTATTTAAATTTTTATTACCATCTTTTGTTTTATATCTCCCTTATTTCCAGATACATTTCTCCCCTGTCCTTTACTCACTGAGCTTTCCTTTGTAACAAAGAATTTTAAAAAGGGAGGATAAAAAGCAAGTCATCAAAACTAATACATTCTATACAATAAAAAGACTGACATTCTATACAATATACCCATAGTCTTCCCACCTCTATAAAGAAGGCAGGAATGTACATTTCTAATCTCTCCTCTAGACCAAGGGTGGTCATTATAATCATACAGAATTCAGCTTCAATATTTTGTTTACATTTGTTTCAATTTACATTGTTGTAGTAATGATACATGGTTTTCCCGGTTTCATTCTATAACACTTCATCTAAGATTTCCCACACTTCTCTGAATTCTTCATAATCATCACCAGTAATATTCTATCATATTCAATTTGGCCATTCATCAAGTGGTGGGCTTCTATTATATTTATGGTTCTCTGTTACCACAGAAAAAACTGTTGTCTTGAATAGTCTGTTGTATGTGGGACCTTTCCGTCTTTAACCTCTCGGAGGTATATGCTTAGAAGTGGAATGTCTTTATTTTAGCCCCTCCCCTTTTATTTCTACCACAATTAGAAATTCCCTTCCAGAACGACTGGAGACTTGGTTATTTTAATATTATATAGTAGCATGAATATTCACAAACCTATTAAAGGTCCAGATTAACTGAACAAAATTTTTCCCCCCAATTAAAATAAAAACAATTTTTAACATTTTAACACTTCCTTCCCTCCCTTCCCTGAGACAGTAAGCAATCTGATATAGGTTATAAATTAGCAATCATGTAAAACATTTCCATATTAGTCATATTGTGGAAGAAAACTCAAAAGAAAGGAAGAAAGAGAAAGAAAAAGGGAGGGAAGAAACAAAGGAAGGAATAATATGGTTGGTCTGTATTCAGATGCCATCAGTTCTTTCTCTGGGAATAGAGAGCATTTTTTATCATGAGTCTGTTGGGACCATTTTGGATCACTGTATTGCTAAGAATAGCTAAGTCACTCACAGTTGTTCATTGTTCAATACTGCTGTTACTGTGTACAATGTTGTTCTGGTTCTGCTCACTTCACTCTGTATCAGTTCAAGTAACTCTTTCCAGCCATACACTTTCTTAACATGTTTTCTTTTACTCCTTCTTGGTTTTATAAAGAGATACTAGTCATATTCTTTCATCATCCTTCCCTGTAATATTTTAAGATGAGAGTTTCCCAAACTACTATAGCCATAAAACATTTCTGGATGTGAAATTTATTGGCAGAACAACCTATAGTTATTTGATGAGGACCAATGACATCACAGGGTGATGTCTTGACTTGTGCATTAATTGGATTTAAGTGAAGGAGAACTGCACAAAGTCATCAGCCTCACTCTTCCAGAGTCATCAAGTCCAGTGGCAAGACAAAAGTCAGAACCACAGGCCTAGGATACAGTAGATGAACTTGACATCTTCAATATCTGACCAAGCTCTAAATGCTCCACAATGCTTTAGCCCACCTTCATGCACACTGAAACAAATTGTTCTCATCTTCCCATTCTGTGGGGGAAGTCTTCGTGTACTTGGGGTTGACATTCCCTTAACTCATCTGACAAGTTTGAGGCCTGTCAGTTACCTTCAATCTGGTTTAGTCCATGT